TTCATAGGGACAAATAAAGATATGAATGTAGGATAGAGGATGGGAGGTTGACAAAAATCGTCAAGGAAAAATACGCATAGTGGGTCTAAACACCCCTAGTGAGTAAAAAAGCAAGAAATTGGCTAAGGCAGAACACCATAGTTAATGTAACCACACATCGACAAATTACTTGACTTCAGTAGTCTCACCTATCAGAATACCATATGTTGTGTTACCTAAATCGGTTGACTGGCATGTCAAAAAGTCTTTAACACCTCAAAAATTGGATGCCGATGCTGAGTTGCACGCAATCATTTGCTTATGAAAGAACAATCTTTTATGATATTCATTATTTTTGTAACATGTAATAAAGGCATGTTTAAATATAAGAGATATAACGTGCTATCAATTCATCTATAACTTGTAAAGAATGCTATTATCATGTTTTATAGCATTTTTTGAAATGTCATCGCAGGTAGTGTAATTAAAAGTCATACCTCTACGATAAAATTCTTTGAATGCTATTATGAAGTGTTATAAAAAAAATTTTAAATAACATTTTATTTTTGTCATGATTTTAATATATATAGAATTCTTTTCGTGGAATCTTTTTTAATTTGATAGTATTTTTTTTTGTTATAATTTTGGCTTTAATAACATTTTTTTATTATTATGATTACATCTTCAATAGCATTCTTTCTCCATGATGAGGGCAGGGAAGAGATGCAGAGGAGTGATTTGTAAATGAATCTGTTGGGAAGAGAGGTAGAGACTGATTTGATGAAAGTAAAGAAAATGGGGTACAAAAAACTGGACTCCATAATTGGGCTGCTTTATTTGATGGGTTTGTTAATGAATGCTATTATATAATGTTGAGATAAAAATTATTTTTATTTTATAGCATTACTAACAAGTATGCTATATTTCAATGTCGTAAAAGGTTGTAGTCAATGACGAATAAAATGATCTCTGTTATAAAGCTAGGATGAGAAGAAAGAACAGTATAAAAAGGCAAGTCACAACTCACGCGTAAATTTTATTATAACAATGATCTCTATATACGTGGTTTCAATGAAAGTTACGAGTGAATAAAATACACTCTTATAAAATGACATATCCTAAGCAAGAAACAGCACAGATGAATAAAATATAATAAATGAAAAAAGTGTACGAAAAAACCAAGATCAAATACAAAAATCGAAGGAAGAAAACTCATCCAAAGTTGAGAAATCTAGAAGTTTGTCTTCAAATTAACTGCTACTAGGAGCAAAATCGCGGTTTCATGACATGAACATCAACAAGCATTACAAGGAAACCCAGCAAATGAAGTAAAAACTGAAGTGGCCTAACAAAAATACTAGGTTTCTTAACAACATATATTTCTCCAAAACTGCAAGAAAGATTCAGCGTCCCATTGCTGCCATTTTGAACCAAAGAATCATCTCATTGTAATACAAAACAAGAAATTATTGCCCCACAGACATGACGCAATGGTAAAGTAGGAGGATTCTGTACGGAATATTGGAAGTTCGAATTCCCCCGGCAGCTAAAAGGAAACATATATATTGAAAGACAGTTGTTCTGTGGAAGTAAAGTTATTGTACGTTTTGTCGCCCCTCTGGAGGTCCTATCCACACGTCGTAAAGGGAGATCTACAGGGAGGAGAACCGCATATCGAATGTCAGGTCCAAGTGTGTATAAGTTGTGACTGCATTCGAATTTACTTGGGTGGTAAATCAGTGGGGGAGGTTGCCACTCCTCAGAATTAATCAGGCAAAATTTGGACACCTGAATTATCATAAAAATAAAATGTTTGCTTGATAAAAATGTTTCTATTCCAGTTGGGATAATCATAAACTTGATACGATATAGAAAAAAGTTAGTGAATTCAATTTTGAGAAGAATCTCACCATTTACTTTTCAACTTGTCTTTTGCTTCTCGAGATATTTAATTAAGGCATCATGCCGTCTCCACCATTTAATTTATAATCTTTGCTACTATAAAACTGACAAATATTTACAAGTTGAGCAACTTTCCAACTTGTCCTGTGCGGCTGTGCCTTCAAGAAATAAACAAGAGCATGGTTGGCTAACTTTCAAAAGAAGACATTTTTTTTTTCTCTCAAAAAATAAAATAAAATAAAATAAAATAAAACCCATGCATTTGAAGTTTGCACTTTTTTAGCGAACATCTGCAAATTATTTTGTTATTGTACTCTTGTGATCAATTATTTCATATTGTGGCACTAATCTCTTATTTTCTCCAATAAATTGGTATTAGATTTGTCCGATATCATCTTTGTTTCACAACAACTTTGATATTTTATGATATTTCTTGCTTGATTTTTAGCACTTAGCAAAAAACATTCATACAAAAATAGCTTCTCAATTAGTATCGAAAGTACGATTCATAGGGACAAATAAAGATATGAATGTAGGATAGAGGATGGGAGGTTGACAAAAATCGTCAAGGAAAAATACGCATAGTGGGTCTAAACACCCCTAGTGAGTAAAAAAGCAAGAAATTGGCTAAGGCAGAACACACCATAGTGAATCTAAAATCACATCGACAAATTACTTGACTTCAGTAGTCTCACCTATCAGAATACCATATGTTGTGTTACCTAAATCGGTTGACTGGCATGTCAAAAAGTCTTCAACACCTCAAAAATTGGATGCCGATGCTGAGTTGCACGCAATCATTTGCTTATGAAAGAACAATCTTTTATGATATTCATTATTTTTGTAACATGTAATAAAGGCATGTTTAAATATAAGAGATATAACGTGCTATCAATTCATCTATAGCTTGTAAAGAATGCTATTTATCATGTTTTATAGCATTTTTTGAAATGTTATCGCATGTAGTGTAATTAAAAGTCATACCTCTACGATACAATTCTTTGAATGCTATTATGAAGTGTTATAAAAAAAATTTTAAATAACATTTTATTTTTGTCATGATTTTAATATATATAGAATTCTTTTCGTGGAATCTTTTTTAATTTGATAGTATTTTTTTTTTTTTTTTGTTATAATTTTGGCTTTAATAACATTTTTTAATTATTATGATTACATCTTCAATAGCATTCTTTCTCCATGATGAGGGCAGGGAAGAGATGCAGAGGAGTGATTTGCTTGGAAGAAAGAAACGAAATGAATCTGTTGGGAAGTGAGGTAGAGACTGATTTGATGAAAGTAAAGAAAATGGGGTACAAAAAACTGGACTCCATAATTGGGCTGCTTTATTTGATGGGTTTGTTAATGAATGCTATTATATAATGTTGAGATAAAAATTATTTTTATTTTATAGCATTACTAACAAGTATGCATTACAAGGAAACCCAGCAAATGAAGTAAAAACTGAAGTGGCCTAACAAAAATACTAGGTTTCTTAACAACATATATTTCTCCAAAACTGCAAGAAAGATTCAGCGTCCCATTGCTGCCATTTTGAACCAAAGAATCATCTCATTGTAATACAAAACAAGAAATTATTGCCCCACAGACATGACGCAATGGTAAAGTAGGAGGATTCTGTACGGAATATTGGAAGTTCGAATTCCCCCGGCAGCTAAAAGGAAACATATATATTGAAAGACAGTTGTTCTGTGGAAGTAAAGTTATTGTACGTTTTGTCGCCCCTCTGGAGGTCCTATCCACACGTCGTAAAGGGAGATCTACAGGGAGGAGAACCGCATATCGAATGTCAGGTCCAAGTGTGTATAAGTTGTGACTGCATTCGAATTTACTTGGGTGGTAAATCAGTGGGGGAGGTTGCCACTCCTCAGAATTAATCAGGCAAAATTTGGACACCTGAATTATCATAAAAATAAAATGTTTGCTTGATAAAAATGTTTCTATTCCAGTTGGGATAATCATAAACTTGATACGATATAGAAAAAAGTTAGTGAATTCAATTTTGAGAAGAATCTCACCATTTACTTTTCAACTTGTCTTTTGCTTCTCGAGATATTTAATTAAGGCATCATGCCGTCTCCACCATTTAATTTATAATCTTTGCTACTATAAAACTGACAAATATTTACAAGTTGAGCAACTTTCCAACTTGTCCTGTGCGGCTGTGCCTTCAAGAAATAAACAAGAGCATGGTTGGCTAACTTTCAAAAGAAGACATTTTTTTTTTCTCTCAAAAAATAAAATAAAATAAAATAAAATAAAATAAATGAAGCGAACAAAGAGTTGGTAAATACGTTCTTGCTGACAAGAAGAAGCTGAAGAACCCTGTTTCTTCCTTTAATACTTTAGTCTTCACTTGCAAAGAATCTATGAAAAGTTTAATTTATAAATAAATAAAAATGATTGATGAATAATTTGTTAAAATTTGTAAGTTCATTAAAAATTGAAGTTTGTCCATTTATACATAATTGATAAATTTTGCTAAACAGAAGCTTAATTTCGAAATATATAAAAATCTCTTTTGAAGATTATATTAACGATGTAGATACTAGCAACTTCCTTCTCACTGCAATCATTGATAATAAAAAAAGACACGAAAAACGTCGGTGCCAAGAAATTAGCTTCTTGTCAACAACTAGACCAAGTCATTGTGACACATCAAGCTCACATGGAATAATAAAAATATTTTGTGGTCCCTAAAATTTTAGTTAATTGTCCCTAAAGTTTATTTTGTTTTAATTTAGTCACTAAATCCATATATACTTTGTTACTATTTGTTCAGTTCGTCTACATTTGTTAGTTTAAGTAATGAAAAATGTGGCTTATTAGTAGTCTAGTTATTTGCCAAATGAGGGATACTTTCAACTTTTTCTTTAAAACTAACATTCGTGAATGAAATGTTAAAGTTCAATAACTAACTTGGAATAAAGATCAAGTTGAGTAACCAATTTAGATCAAAATAATAAATTCTGTGAGGAACAATGCTTCTTCATGCAGATTCCCAGCACTATAAGTATTTGATAAGCAGGTTCAAACTCTCCCATATTTCACTTCATACATTAAAAACTCTGTCATAGTCTATCCATCCAAGACTTGAATATATGGAGTGCAGGAAATTTGATATTACTCTTGTTTCTGCCAATAATCTCCCTAACGTTAGGGATTTTGGCAGGATGAAAGTTTATGCTGAAGTTTCAATCAATGGCATATCTAAAACAGCAAAGAAAGCCGAAGTGGACAAGAAAAACGAGTGCAGTCCCTGCTGGAATTGCACCATCGGATACACAATAGGTGAGAGAGCAGTCCAACAAGAAACTGGTGTTGAAATTGCAATCAAGTTATTCTGTAAAAGGACACTTGGGGATAGATATATTGGTGAAGTGAAACTACCATTGAAGAGTCTTTTTGAGAATGGACCTACAGCTCAAAATATTAGTTATGTCGTGGATGGAACAGCTAGTGGAACCCTAGTTATTTCGTACAGGTTCGGAGAAATGATTGTTGTTAAGAAACCTTCTGGTTGGGATACAGCAATCAGGATAATTATGAGCCTCGGGGTTACGCTACTGATAAAGGGAACCATTATCCTGATAACCGGAGGGGCCTCTGATGGCGGCTTTGATATTCCGATTTTCACCGATTCTTGTGATATTATTGATCTAGTCGGTGATATTGCTATTGAAGATATAGTCGTCATCGAGTGAAGGACAATAATTATTTACATAAATTTATTCAATAATTCAGTTTGGTTGGTTCTTTGTACCTAATTTTGGTGCAGTAGTTATATTTCGATGTTTGGTTTCGAGTTCATCAATGCAATTCTAGCTGTTTCCTATTGTAATTAATTTCTAGTTCCAAGTCTTTGCTAAATTCTAGTACCACTATATATTTCTCTTCATGCCTCTTCTTCTTTTTTTTTTTTTTTTTTTTTTAAAGATCGAACTATGCTATATTTCAATGTCGTAAAAGGTTGTAGTCAATGCCGAATAATATGATCTCTGTTATAAAACTAAGATGAGAAGAAAGAACTATATAAAAAAGTAAGAATCACAACTCACGCGTAAACTGTATTATAACAATGATCTCTATATACATGGTTTCAATGAAAGTTACGATGTGAATAAAATACACTCTTGTAAAATGACATATCCTAAGCAAGAAACAGCACAGATGAATAAAATATAATAAATGAAAAAAGTATACGAAAAAACCAAGATCAAATACAAAAATCCAAGGAAGCAAACTCATCCAAAGTTGAGTAATCTAGAAGTTTGTCTTCAAATTAACTGCTACTAGGAGCAAAATCGCGGTTTCATGACATGAACATCAACAAGCATTACGAGGAAACCCAGCAAATGAAGTAAAAACTGAAGTGGCCTAACAAAAATACTAGGTTTCTTAACAACATATATTTCTCCAAAACTGCAAGAAAGATTCAGTGTCCCATTGCTACCATTTTGAACCAAAGAATCATCTCATTGTAATACAAAACAAGAAATTATTGCCCCACATGCATGACGCAATGGTAAAGTAGGAGGGTTCTGTACGGAGTATTGGAAGTTCGAATTCCCGCGGCAGCTAAAAGGAAACATATATGTTGAAAGACAGTTGTTCTGTGGAAACAAAGTTATTGTGCGTTTTGTCACCCCTCCGGAGGTCCTGTCCACACATCGTAAAGGAAGATCTACAGGGAGGAGAACCGCATATCGAATGTCAGGTCCAAGTGCGTATAAACTGTGACTGCATTCGGATTTACCTGGGTGGTAAATCAGTGGGGGAGGTTGCCACTCTTCAGAATTAATCAGGCAAAATTTGGACACCTGAATTATCATAAAAAAAATGTTTGCTTGATAAAAATGTTTCTATTCCAGTTGGGATAATCATAAACTTGATACGATATAGAAAAAAGTTAGTGAATTCAATTTTGAGAAGAATCTCACCATTTACTTTTCAACTTGTCTTTTGCTTCTCGAGATATTTAATTAAGGCATCATGCCGTCTCCACCATTTAATTTATAATCTTTGCTACTATAAAACTGACAAATATTTACAAGTAGACCAACTTTTCAACTTGTCCTGTGCCTTCAAGAAATGGTTGGCTAACTGTCAAAAGAAGACTTTTTTTCTTTTTCTTTTTTTATAAAAAAAAGGGAGAGAGTTAGTAAATACGTACAAAATCTTGCTGACAACAAGAAGCTGACGACCCCCTCTTTCTTCCTTAATACTTAGTCTTCATTTGCGAAGAATTTATAAAAAAATTAATTTAAAAATAAATAATAATGACTGATAAATAATTGGTTAATATTTGTAAGTTCATTAAAAATTGAAGTTTGACCATTTATATATAATTTATAAATTTTGCTAACGCAGAAGCTTAATTATTTATGCAATTTTTTTGTTCTTCCATTTCAAAATATATAAAAATCTCGTTTGAAGTTAATATTGATTATACTCATACTAGCAACTTCCTTCTTACTGCAATAATTGATAATAAAAAAAGACACGAAAAACGTAGGTTCCGAGAAATTAGCTTCTTGTCAACAACTAGACCAAGTCATTGTAACACAGCAAGCTCACACGGAATAATAAAAATATTTGTGGTCTTATTTTGTTTTAATTTAATCACTAAATTCATATATACTTTGTTACTATTTGTTCAGCTCGTCTATATCTGTTGGTTTGACTAATGAAAAATGTGGCTTATTAGTAGTCTAGTTATTTACCAAGTCAGGTATACCATCAACTTTTTCTTTAAAACTAACATTCGTGAATGAATATTAAAGTTCAATAACTAACTTGGAATAAAGATCAAGTTGAGTGTCCAATTTAGAACAAAATAATAAATTCTGTGAGGAACAATGCTTCTTCATGCAGATTCCCAGCACTATAAATATTTGATAAGAAGGTTCAAACTCCATTGTGCATTTTCTCCCATATTTCACGTTATACATTAAAAACTCTGTCATAGTCTATCCATCCAAGACTTGAATATATGGAGTGCAGGAAACTTGATATTACTCTTGTTTCTGCCAATAATCTCCCTAACGTTAGGGATTTTGGCAGAATGAAAGTCTATGCTGAAGTTTCATTCAATGGCATATCTAAATCAGCAAAGAAAACCAAAGCGGACAAGGAAAACGAGGGCAGTCCCTGCTGGAATTGCACCATCGGTTACGGAATAGGTGAGAGAGCAGTCCAAGCTGGTGTTGAAATTGTAATCAAGTTATTCTGTAAAAGGACATTGGGGGATAGATATATTGGTAAAGTGAAACTACCATTGAAGAGTCTTTTTGAGAATGGACCTACTGCTCAAAATATGAATTGTATCGTGGGTGGAACAGCTAGTGGAACCCTAGATATTTCGTACAGGTTCGGAGAAATAATTGTTGTTAAGAAACCTTCTGGTTGGGATAGAGCAACCAGGATAATTAAGAACGTCGGGACTACGCTACTGATACAGGGAACCATTATCCTGATAACCGGAGGGGCCTCTGATGGCGGCTTTGATATTCCGATTTTCACCGATTCTTGTGATATTATTGATCCAGTCGGTGATATTGCTATTGAAGATATAGTCGTCATCGAGTGAAGGACAATAATTATTTGCATAAATTTATTCAATAGTTCAGTCTGGTTGGTTCTTTGTACCTAATTTTGGTGTAGCAGTTATATTTCGATGTTTGGTTTCGAGTTCATCAATGCAATTCTAGCTGTTTCCTATTGTAATTAATTTCTACGTCGAGTCTTTGCTAAATTCTAGTACCACTATATATTTCTCTTCATGCCATTTTTTTTTCTTTTTTAAAGATCGAGCGTCTTTAGCGCGTTCACTATAAAATAGGAAAATGTCCCAACAATCTAAAATTGGTATCAAATTTTAGCAAACGCCTCAAGGTAAGTTCATATCAAAATTGTGTGCGCCTAAGGTGGGGAAGACCTTCAAATCTTCAATTAATCAAGTGGAGAAGGAATGTTCAGAGACAACTTTACATTGAAATTTCACAATTGTTAGCACGTAAGGAGTTATGTAAAGACAAAACACAAGGAAAAAAACTCATCCAAAGACAAAATCTACTAAGTTCAAGTCTTCGAGCTAAGTGCTACAAGGACCAAATCATGGTTTAATGACATCAACATCAACACAAGCATTAGGAGGACACCCAGCAAATGTAGCAAGTAAAAACTGAAGTGCCCTTACAAAAATACTAGGTTACTTAACAACATATATTTCTCCAAAACTGTAAGAAAGATTCAGTGTCCCATTGCTACCATTTTGAACCAAAGAATCATCTCTTTGTAGTACAGAACAAGAAATTCTTGATTCTCCACTATGGCCATGGCCTTCGTCGAACAGTTTCTTCAACGGTAACTTCACTTCTCCTATACATTTATCCTTGAATTTCTGCTCAAGATATAGCTTAAAATTGAGGTCAACGCTGCCGTGTTGCACCACTGCCTCCGTCAACGTGAATGGAATTTTGTAGTTTCACTTCGGGTTGTTCTCCCCGGCGTTGTCCACTGGAGTGCGCCTCTCGGTTTCATATTTTCCGGCGACTGAAACCTTGACATAAATTTTCATACTACAAGAATCATGAACTTTTGGGAGGTTATTGGCGGAAATAATAGTTATCTGTAACCTTCTACACTCCATTTTTCTTTAGCTTTTAACGGAGGTTCACTATTGTGGATTGTGAATATAGAACTTGGGCTATAATTATCAATAAATATATTAATATTTTTTAACAGTTTGGTTCAACGTCTACTAGTTCTTGACCCCTTAAAATAATTATATTTCCTACCACCTTCATTGAAACATAAAATTAAATTAAGCGACAAATGAAATTTATGTTTGATACAAACATTTGAGAAAAAAAAATTAACGTCGACTTGTGAGATGTCATTTACTTGTGAGTGACAATCTGCTGTTCATTATTTGCTGTCCACTCAATCAACTATTAACACCTCATTTAATTTAACATGTCATATATTTTAATTTTTTTTATCCTTAATAGTTATTTAACACAGTTAAATACCTTCTCTCACACAAAATTTTAATTTTACCCTCATTAACTTTACTACTAAACCCACCACTCTCTTTACAATTCCAAGACAATGCCACGTGCTGTTGCTGTTGAATTGAGAAATTGCTGCTTTTTTACTTTCTTTTTCCCTTTTTTAAATCTTCACTAAAAAAATTTAATTATCGTCTCAGGAACATGCTGTTTTGAAATCTTGTTTTACTTAGATTGTTGGAATCTTCACTAAAAATTACAGCCCCATCAACTTAATTATGATATTATTGTATCAAAATATATGAATTATACTTTAAAAAACTTGCACATTAGAAATAAAATGTGAAACTTGTGTTACTTCACCGATATTTCTTTGCAAATCACGTGTGTTTAACAAATAACTAGAAAACCACGGCATCTCTGCAACTTTTGTTCTAGTCTTGATTTGGGAATCCAATGATGGCTCGAATGGGTTCCACTTCCAGTCATTTTAATGTTTATTGCAATTAATAAGATGTCACATGATCAACCTTAATAACCGTATAAAGCCCATGAATATATCAATTACGATAATTTTAAATAAAACTTGGTGTCATGCCTGTTGTAATAATTCGACCAAACTTGGTGTCATAGCAACATCTCCAAGATCAACATGAGGTTCAATCTGCATATAATATAAGATAAATACAAAC